TGGATTTCTTCCATCCATTTCCCTTGAATCCAAGTCCTTGATGGTCCCTCTGGTTTGTGAGCGAAAACGTATTTTACTCTCCATTTGAATTCCTGATACTGGGGTCGCCATGGTCCTAATATTACTTTTATAAGTTGTCCATATTCATGGTCCGGTAATTTGATTCTCTTATACAGGTACACATCATTGACTCCTGTTTCTCCCGGATTCTTATCCATGAAATCTTGGATACATTCATCTTTGTTTTTCATCCATTCTCCTTTTTTAGTGGAACCTGTATGCTCTTGCATTTTCCAACGATACTCTGAGCTTAAAAAATCCATGTTGCTCTATCCTCAGTCAGATCAGAAATGAATCTTTTTTTTCCCCATTTTATATATATACTCTGTGATGTATTTTTTTTTTTTAGACATTAACCCTGTGTATTGGTGGTCTTTTTAGGGGTATGATGCATCATCGTAGGACTAGGCATGATATAACCCACTGAAGAACTGACACATACCATCCAATATTCTCGATTAGGATCATGTAAAGCTAACATGACCACACTGGTAATGATGAGAGATACACAGATAAATAATTGGGCGAAATAAACGATTTCTTCTCGAGGAATATTCTCTCCACAAAATTTCCAATGAGGCGTTATTTGATGAGATCCGTTTGGGGAATCCATGAATCAAAACTAGGGGGATATCCTTTTCACCGAACTTTGACTTCTTGAATGATTTTTTTCCCGACGCGTCGCTTTTTATACCCCAAGATTTCCTCCACTTCGTACACGTCGTCTTTTTTAATGATCTTTTGTAATTCTTTCTCGTAAAAAGTCCCTTCTAATTCCTCTCCGTTATAATCTTGCACTCTATACACTTAAGGATACCTTCCAGGAACTCTTTTAGAAATGGTAAACAGTTCTGTGGTCCAGTTAGGTAAATATCCTTTTTCAAATGTGCGTTTGGCTTTACTGATGCGGACCTGATCTCCTTCTTTAAACTGAGGTTTAAGAAACTGTTTTGGATTCGATATCCCATATAAAGTTTTCCAGACTTTTTTAACATTAGAAGCATTCACTTGAACTGGGGCTCTTTTGATACTCCTATGATAGGTATGATTGTAAGCATACACTAAATCGGGTAAAACTTCTACATACCGTCTGGTTTTATGACGAGTAAAATAACGCCACATGCGTGCTTTGAGTGTACGCTGAAATCGTTCCACGATACTGGCTTTAGTGTCCGTATTACGAGTAGTAAAAAAATGAATGGATTTAAAAGCTTGTAAGAATTCTCGATTGGTAAATTCTTTTCCTTGATCGGATTGAATGCGGACGGGACGTCGACCGTCTTGTTGAAAAATCTCTTGTAATCCTCGAATCATTTCTTTTCCTGTTTTCTGTTTTAAAGGCACTACCCAGGCATATTTAGATAAGACGTCAATGGCACATAATAAAAACGTATATCCATCATTATGTTTCTTTAAACTGGACACATCTGCTAAATCTAATTGCCATTGTTCATCTATATCGGTCACTCTAGTCTGTTGTCTCCGGAATTTTCTTTGAATGGGTTTATGTAAAGTATAAGTATCTTGCTCTTTTAACCATTCTCGAATCTTTTTCAGGGAAATTTCTAAAGGTTTGACCTGACGATACAAAGCTTGTATTCCTCCGTACCCTCTTTTAGGATCATAATAAATCTCTTTTAAAATATCTTCTATTTGTTTCTTTTTCATATTTTAGGCAATGAAAGCCAATTTTCATCGATTTGTCCTAATTTCTTTTCTTCTTCGAGTTTGGCTTTTAATTCCTTTCGAGCTCTAAAGGGACTATATTTGGATCCTACCCTTGTCCCTACAGGGGTTGAAATGGGTTTTTTAATGACGGTTCCTCGATCTTCTATAGGTCTACTCAAAAAAGGAAGAAAATCCACTATCGTCTATTTCGTGACTTTTAGGAGTACTGATTTTTCCAGGTCTCTGCATGGCTTTTATAAGGTTTCCATTGCTCACGTATTCCAGAGGAGTACGCGTCTCTTTTAAAGCTTGAGCAAATTGTTCTAATCCTGTAGGAACCGGATGATGTTTACGAGACTGAGATCTCATACTATCAGCCATTAAATCCACAATGTTAGAATCGGGAATTTTTTGACCTCGATAACTAATTTCACCTTCTTTATTCCAAGTTAATACTTTAGGGTTTTTCTTTAAATGATTTAATAATAATCCAGCTTTTCTCTTCATGTTTTTATTCACTGTTTCAAGGATTTCATCGTCAATTTCAGCTGCTGGTAATGCTGCTGCTGCTGGGGCTGGAGCTGCTGGAGCTGCTGCTGCTGTCGGAATTTTCAGTTTAGAAATAGGTTCCTGTCTAGCTTGTTGTAAATAATTCCTATATCGATGAAGTTCCTGGCCATATAAAGCGACTTTTTCTTCTGGGGTTAAATCACGTCTTGTAATCTCGTCCAATTCCTGACCTAAACTGATGGTGGATTGAAATTCCGGAGGTTTGGGTAATTTTGCCTTGAGATCATTTAATAAGACTTCAGGAACTAACACCATTTTACGACTCATATTTTTTTCTTCTTCTTCTTGAGGACTTTATAGACGGATTGACCGGCATCCAACAATAAAGGTGCTGCTGAGATTAATAGGGGTAAAATGTTTCCTCCTTTTTGTTGAAGTAATAAAGCTCGTCGTTTCTGGACAGATTGAGGTTTGACCAGTCTCCTGAAGATGTGTTTCTTAGGAGCTAGTTTTCGTTTATGAGCCGAACTGAGAGGTAACACTCCTTTTAATAGGTTGTACACGATCTCGCAGATTTTGAGAATACAATCTCCAGAACAATGTTTTAAAATACCCGTCTTTAATGGAGAGGAATAGTGAGGGTCTGATAACACTCTTAAAAGAGGCCAATGAGGTTTTAATCGTGTAGAACAGCATCTTTTCTTCTTCTTCTTAGCCATCCTGGGGTTAAAATCAGGACATGTCCTAGGTTTCTCCCCTTTTTATACTCTCAAGGAGGAGCATACATGTCGTGTTTGGCCTTCTCGTGTTTGTCTCTATTTTTCTGGGTGACGTAGAATTTGGAACAATATCGGCATTTATATCTCATTCCTTTAGGAAGTTGAGGTGTAGAAGCGGTCAGAGGTTGAAAGCGTGCTATTTTAGGAGTGTGAATGGGTACTTTAATTCTAGGAGTGATTGATTGATTGTATGTTGTTTAACGTCCCTCTCGAGAATCTTTCACTCATATGGAGACGCCACCACTTGCCGGTGGAGAGCTGCAAATTTTGTCCTATACTCGGCACTAACGGCCATTGAGCAGTGAGGGATCTTTATCGTGCCAGCACCTACTGCGACACGGGACCTCGGTTTATACGGTCTCATCCGAAGGACCGATCTCCACGTCCCACAGTGGGATTCGAACCCGCGACGTAAGGATCGACTCCTTACTTCGCGACTCTAGAGCAGACGCTCTAACCACTGCGCCACGCGGGCGACAATTCTAGGAGTGTGAATGGGTACTTTAATTCTAGGAGAGGGAATTCTCACATTGACTTGAGGAAACATTTCTAAATCGGGAGCTCTTTGACTGCCTATGGGTCCCATAGGACGATCCATTCTCATTTCAGCTTGTTTTTTTAATAATTCCCCAATAGTTTTTTGTCTTTGTTCTTTATAATACTGATTGATTTCGTTTTTTAAACTTTCAGGCATGGCTTTTCGTTGAGCTGGAGTTTTGGGAGTCGTTTTTTTCTTTCTACCACCTTTTCTTTGAGCAGCAGGTTTTCTCTTTTGAGGTTTTCTCTTAGGAGGTTTTCTCTTCTTTTTGGTCTTTTGAGCTGCTCCTCCTACTCGGACCATCCAATCTGGAAACACTCTTTGTTTCTTATTATTGACTCGTACTACCACACTTTTTAAACGACGAACACGTCGTTTTTTAGGCGCATTCCATTTAAATAAATGACGAATAATGACTCCGCCTAGAAATCCGGCTCCTCCGCGTTTTAAAATGGCATTTTTCCTGTCTTGATCACTCGCCGACTTATCGGCTGTGATACTTAAATCTTGACGATGATTATTAATAAACTTTTGAGTCTGTTTATTGATAGGTAAGACCCCACGTATCAAATTTCGAGCTCCCATAGCAAACCAATTCAATAAGGCTTTACGCCCTAATTCGATTAAATGGGTTCGCTTGGCAGGATCTCGCTCCCGCTGTAAACGCCGTAACGTTTTCACTAATTTACTCTTGGCTGAGAGAGGTCGACCCATGACGACTGTATAATGATAAATGACAAGTTTAATGTTGGTACATTTTTATTTATACTCTTGTGGCATGTGTATAGTTAACAATTCAAACAATCGACTTCTTAATCTGTATTCGTCTGGGGTCTGTGGATTCAAGTCAACCAGGAGATACCCATGAGGAACACTGGTGGCTTCTTGATAAGCTGACATCAAATGAGGTAAGGCTAACTGTCGACTCAAGACACTGATTTGAGATTTGTCTCTGGGATTTTTAAACAACACTAAATAATGAGCATTCAAACTAATAGTGCGATGCTGTGGTGCCCGATCAAATAAATTCTGAGTAATGTAAATCACACTGGTATTCCGATGATGCGCTTTACGGGTAAACCAATCCACGATCGATTCGATGGCTTTTCCTCCCATCATGTCGTCAAAAATGAGTAAGTGAGGAATAGTTAAATTGGCTACTAATTTCTCATCGTCTTCTGGAATATTTCGAATGAAGGAGACCTGATCTGTTAAAGAAGTGTAAGCAGGTTGCCATTCCCGATAACACCACACAATTTTTTGTGGCATGGGGGTAATCCAATGTAAATTTTCCACTAATTTCTTAACAAATTCCGTTTTCCCCGATTTAGATGGTCCTGCTACCACCATGGTAAATTCGTGTTTTAATTGAAAAGACGGGAGTGTCTCGTCAGGTTGCATGATGATAAATGAAGAGAAAAAAATAGGGTTTCAATCCTTTTTATTCAACACAGAAATATACGTTGAGTTCTCTTCACATCGGATCGACAAATGGGGCAATACCGGAAGGTGGGAGCACATAATGAACAGCAACATACGTGTCCACAAATGTGACATTTTCCTGTGGCCTGAATCTCTGTAGAGGTTTGCTCTAGTAGAGGTTTAATTTCAGGTGAAACTTTGTATCCCACCCGGAGTAAATGGTTAATGAATACGATCATCACCCACTCACGTCCTTTATAAGTATTGATGTAAGGACAATTAGGGTTCCAATAAGCATGTTCTACATAAGGGTCGTCTGTAGGTTTCCAGCAGTTTAAAGTCATACCACAATGAAAACAGATGGTCTTATCACTCACTCCCCTGTAATAAAATCCGGCTTTGGCTAGGTTGGGTAATAATCCTTTTAAAGACTCGGGCCATCCATCTTTAAAGGTAGCTTCTCTCTTTAAGAGCAGAGCATAGTTAGGGTAAACAGGAACCCCCTCTGGCTCCCTAGAATGATCAGCCATGACTGAAGTGTTAAAATATTTTTGCCCCCTTTTTATAACCCCTTCATTTTTCAGGGGTTTTCCCCAATAATAAAAACACATTTTGAAATACAGTATGTTTTTAATAACCATAAGGTAAAGTATTATAATCATTCATCAATTGTCTCTTATCATAGACAATTCTATATTGTTTTTCTAAAGGTACTGTCTTGACTTCATGTTGACGAGTCCTCTGTATTTTGTAAGGATACGAGACTTGGATTTCATCCATTTCTTTCTTGAGCATTTTTTCTAATGTCTCTGGTGATACGATATTGGAAGCCCGATAATTAAGAGTCAATCCTTTGACTTTACACACGGAATTTCCCTTGGCGGTGAGGTAAGCATAATTTTTAGGGCCTCCTGACATGAATTTGATAATGTGGTCCCCGTCTAATTCATCGGTCCATTCTCCTAAACTGTGGCCAAGGGTAGGATTAAATTGTCCCTCCTTATGTTGGTATATGATACTGTCCGTATCGAAATAAAGGACCCGATTTCCTAAAGGTTGTAAAGTCTCGTAGAGGTAGTGAAACAGGCCAGTACCACGTTTCCGAAGGGACACTCTTCTACAAATTCCTGTTTCTCTTGATAATTCACCAGCATCATGTCCGATTCGGGCTGCTCTTTATTTTCTAAGAGTTCTAGCCCTTTGATGTCAATGGTCGAATCTTGTAAGAGTTGCTGTAATTCCTCTTCTTCGGTCAAGTATCGAGTTTTAGGTAATAAGAGGCGTTGAGCGAATTTTCCCCACAGGCAATTTAAACAGAGTTTGGCTATCGTTCTTCGCACCGGATTTTTTTCTATACTTAATAGGTCCATTCTAATGCCTTCTCTGTCAATTACTTTACGAATGTAATCTAGTTTCTGTTCCTCTGTCTGACAATCAGGTGGGAATCCAGAGGCTTCCTGTTTGATCTTTAAGAAGGTATCGATGTAAGATCTGAATAAATCTTGACTGCTTTCTGGAAAATGCCAAACCTCGTAAATCCGCTCTAAAGTATATCCCATGTCTAGGGCTTTATGTAATTCTGTAGTCACCCAAGTACCTGTAAGACTGCGTTCCTGGTCTGTGTGTTGACATCGATGTTTAGAAGTAGAGTCCTGTCGTTCCGCACAGGTTCGACATAATGGAAATAATAACTTGCCTCCCGTGCGATAAGGTAAAACGGGGTGATAAAAGCCTCGGGGTGGTAAGACCCGACAATGAATGAGGCCGAAATAAGATCTCACGTCCTGGAATTGGTCTGTTATGATCTGAGGATGACCTATCGCATAAAAACGTAAAGACGTACTTTACACAGTTCGTGTTTTATATTCTTAAGGTGAAAGACATTTTTGAAAATAGGTGATGCATGTGTCTGGTTTCAATTTATATTTTATGCAGCCAACATTTACTTGAGGAATTGATAAAGTTTAAAAGGGTATCGTTTTTGTTCGATTTTCATCCGACTATAAGTTTTCAAAATATTCTCGACTATCCTCTCCATCATTTAGACGCATGCCTTTTTCACACATATCGAAGCGGTTTGATGATCAAGACTCATTTCCATTGTTTACTTTATTTATTTCCCGGGCGACAATTGATGGTTACATCAATGTTTTCTTGTTCTATAGTCTTAAACAAGTAACTTACCCGATGTGTAGCGCAGTCGTTAGCGCACCTGCCTTTCAAACCAATGGTTTTGAGTTCTATCCCATCTGCATTTTTCTTTATCTTTCAGCCCAAATGACACGAAGACACTTAAAAAGGTGGAAAGGCCTCTAATTGTTCTCAGAACAATTAGTTTACTAGTTATTAATAAGGTCTTCCGATATATATGATAAGATATGGATATGAAACTTGTTGAGGTGATAGAGCATCAAATGTAGATATGTTGATCGACCATTAGTTTTCGTCGTTCATACTTCCGGTCGCAAACGGAAGTGAATTCAAAAATGTTAAATTTGTAACTTTTTTGTTTTTCAATATTTTTCAATATTTTCAGTCGATAGTGAGGGGCCAACACCTTTGTAATTTCCCCCATTCTTCGGGTCCACAAGGCTGATGAATATCACACCGGCTTGTTCCATGAGAGCTATAGCTTCGTTTTTCTGGTCATTAGCTCTTACATCTCCTAACCTCATGCGTTTCCATAATTTTTCCCATTCAACTAAACTCTCTGGATTTTCCGGTTTTTGACTGTGTAACCGGGTGACTACGATGGCTCGAGCTAAACAAAATTTATCCCAAGGATTGTCGATCTGAACGATGGATCTTTTATTCTTTTTAAAACTCTCCTTGTTGACCATCAGGTGTTTAGTATTCTGTCCACCACTGCCTTCTGGATATTTGACATGAAACATGTCGAATTCCATAGACCCGTCTCCCAGTTTAAAATCTTTCTTAGATTGTTGCACGGCTTCTATTTTGTCTAAAATGACGTCCTCGTTTAAATGTTTACATTGAGTAAACTCGTACCAAATGTCGGAATCCAGAGAAGGGTGGTGAATGTTCAGGCGTACATAATCGTTAGGGTTACACTGCATTTGAAAATTGACATTCTGTAGCTTGTCTCTAAATAATCGCCGAACAAAGCCTCTGTTTTCCTCCTCTGGAAATTCTTTAAAATTCACACTGTAGACATCTTCTTTAGCTTTAAATTTTCTGGAATGCTTAGCTTGATTGAGTCTCAATTGGTAATACTGGGAAATGGTTTTTGGTTTCGGTGGTGGTGGTGGTGAATGAGGTGGTGACGAAGACGGAAAGGGTAGTTCTTCTTCTTCAGGTAGATTCCGTAAACGTTGTAAGTGTTGAGCTCGGTTGGCTTTGGCTCTCTTTAATCTTTCCATTAATCTCGCATTTTTTTTTCCTGAGAACTAATTCTCTGGTTCTCTGTCGAGAAATAATTCTTTCTAATTCTTTCTCCCGTTTTTTCCATCTCATAAGTTGTTCTGCATGTAACAATTGTTTCAAGGCACTATCAAAATTCATCTTGATAGATCTGACAACAAAATGAGCTGAAAGTCGGAGAAAAGCTGTTTTTATACAGTGTATGACGTCACAATGCATAGGTAGTTCGCTGATCCAAGACTAAGTATTGAGACGTACAAAGTACGTACAAAAGGGTATATAAAGCAGAGCTGGAAATTTTAGGATCAGTCTTAGTGGGCATTTGGTACTAGACAGACGTAAAAAAAATATGGCAGAGGAAAAGTCCATGAATTCACCTGCACCCATACCAGAGACACAGGATAGTATTGAAGGAAATGAAAGAAGTTTGATATGTGATATCTTAGATCAAATGACCAATGTAATGGAGATACTTCAACAGACTATTTGTGAGTTTAAAAAAGACATGATTACTGAGATTCATGTGTTTAGAGGAGTGATAATGAATGAGATTGGAAATCTAGAAAAGAAAATAGAGACTAGTCAGGATCAAAAGCAGTCTAACAACAAGAGGAAACTTCCTACTACCCAGACGGAGAAGACCCTGAAACTCCAGAAGAAAAAGTAAACATGTACACATTACTTGAATAAATCATCTTACACACTTTTGACTGTGTTATTGTTTTTTCCGTTTTCAGAAAATAGAGCTCTGTGTGAATGACACACATGACGTCACAATGGTATACTTGAATCGATGCCAAGATTGTGTATTGCCTAGGCCTGACTCAGCACAAAACGTAGATTAAACGTAGACCCCCCTTTTTTACTTGGGTTTTTCCAGGGTGTATACTAGATTGAACCGGCCAGGGGACCAAAAAAAAGTGCACTCAGTTGACCCGGCTATCCAGGATCTGGGGGGACAAAAGTGCACTCAGCCCGGAGGACCGGGCTGCTCTATACATATAAGTTTAAGTGTTGGTATATGGGGATTGAGGTGGGAGAAGTTATTCAGAATTAAAGGTTTTCTAAACATTAAAAAGATTGTTAATCAGAATGTTCTTTCCCTTTATAAATTACGAGATACACAATATATTTACTTCCATAAAGTGAATCTGTAAAAATATATATGTTTCTCATATTTAATATATAAAGTTGCTTATCATTTACTATCGAAAAAACGACAGGTCCCCTTTTTTAGAACATCGAATTTTACTTATCGCATAAAAACGTAAAGACGTACTTTACACAGTTCGTGTTTTATATTCTTAAGGTGAAAGACATTTTTGAAAATAGGTGATGCATGTGTCTGGTTTCAATTTATATTTTATGCAGCCAACATTTACTTGAGGAATTGATAAAGTTTAAAAGGGTATCGTTTTTGTTCGATTTTCATCCGACTATAAGTTTTCAAAATATTCTCGACTATCCTCTCCATCATTTAGACGCATGCCTTTTTCACACATATCGAAGCGGTTTGATGATCAAGACTCATTTCCATTGTTTACTTTATTTATTTCCCGGGCGACAATTGATGGTTACATCAATGTTTTCTTGTTCTATAGTCTTAAACAAGTAACTTACCCGATGTGTAGCGCAGTCGTTAGCGCACCTGCCTTTCAAACCAATGGTTTTGAGTTCTATCCCATCTGCATTTTTCTTTATCTTTCAGCCCAAATGACACGAAGACACTTAAAAAGGTGGAAAGGCCTCTAATTGTTCTCAGAACAATTAGTTTACTAGTTATTAATAAGGTCTTCCGATATATATGATAAGATATGGATATGAAACTTGTTGAGGTGATAGAGCATCAAATGTAGATATGTTGATCGACCATTAGTTTTCGTCGTTCGTACTTCCGGTCGCAAACGGAAGTGAATTCAAAAATGTTAAATTTGTAACTTTTTTGTTTTTCAATATTTTTCTCTGGGATTTACAGGGTTAATATAGAGTCTTCTAAGAGTTCTAAGTATGTTTTCATCGTTTTGATTGATGCATTTATTGCAAAAATATGATCGATCCAAACTTTCTCTTATTGTTGCGGGTTCGAATCCTGCTGGGGCGGGAGATTGTTTCTCTCTTTTTTCAGTTGTAAATGATATTTTTTTCTCTG